TATATATATATATATATATATATATATATATATATATATATATATATATATATATATATATATATATATATATATATATATATATATATACTCAAAAAGCCACAACAGTCTGTTTCATGCATCCGTATAGGAATCGGCAGGACCGAGTCGAGTTTGTATATCAGACAAAGATCGGAAAGTACTACTACGACCAATCTTATGAGTTCATTGGCGAAGTAATTTTAAAAATAAACATTGTCTAAGCCGAGGAAATCAAAGCCAAATCAGGACAAATCCAATTTACAAACATTGATTAAACATTCATTTCTTTTGTGTTTTCTTCATGAATTGTTAATGATTGAGTATTTTAAGTATATCTAGCCTTCGTTATTTTGCCAATCAGTACTCATTTACCAATTAACACTTGCAATTTTTGCAAGGAGAGAGCTGAAATCTCGATCAGGCATAATCATAGGCTACTTAATAACAATTAGCTAATTACAACAAACTATAAGCATAGTTTGACGACCAGTGTCATTAAACATCAAAACTTGTTCAACATCCATATAATAGTTGAAAAGAGTCTTACTAAGTACGAGAGTTCTGGATTCTTAGAAAATGTCATTCGATTCTGTGTATATATTGAGACCAAGATTTGTCTGTAGAACCCGAAGTTTTGAAAACACCATATCCCACTCGTAAAACATGGTTTTTATCCACCGAGAGACTTTGGCCTCTGCCTCAGATGTCGCTTTAAACCCCGTTCTCCCGTGCAAAACGCGCGTATTATGCGTCATTACGACTTGCCCTGGCTTGAGATGGACGCTAACGACATTGCTGTAAAATAATTTTGATAGTTGGTGGTATGCTTCGTAGAACGCGAGTACTTCCTCTGTGGTTGACGTTTTGTTTGCCACAGTCATAACTGCGGGCTCAAGTAACAGACTCTCAATACGACCTTTGTTGTTCAGGCTGAAAAAGAAAAGATTATTGTAAGTTGTAAGTTGTAAAACAATTAGCCATTCCGAAATTGATGAGAGGACTGGGGACGAGTGTTAAAAAGTGTCCAAATTAAGAAATGGACCAAATCACTAAAAAGACCATCACAAAGTTAGTAAGTATACAAAGTTTGAAGACGTCTACATGAATACCCTTCAAATAATAAGCTTTCGAAAATTGTGAAATTACTGATTATTAAAAGATTGTTTTGGGGACGCGCGTCCCAAAAACGAAAATTACAACACATTTCATAGTAAATATCGCGATTTCGAAAGCTTATTATTCGAAGGATATTCATGTAAACGTCTTCAAACATTGTATACTTACTAATTTTGAGGTAGTCTTTTTAGTGATTTGGTCCATTTCTTAATTTGGACACTTTTTATACTCGTCTCCAGTCCTCTCATCAACTTCGGAATGGCTAATAGGCCGTAGGGACGTGGGGAAGCATTTGGAGTTGGGAGTGGGGCATCAAAGAAATTTACTTGAAATTTAAACTACAAGTTTACGACCTGCTGTTGTTGTGTTTACTGTTGTTGTGTTTACTGTTGTTGTGTTTACTGTTGTTGTGTTTACTGTTGTTGTGTTTACTGTTGTTGTGTTTACTGTTGTTGTGTTTACTGTCGTTGTGTTTACTGTCGTTGTGTTTACTGTCGTTGTGTTTGCTGTTGTTGTTTTCTGTTGTTGTGTTTACTGTTGTTGTGTTTACTGTTGTTGTGCTTACTGTTGTTGTGTTTACTGTTGTTGTGTTTACTGTTGTTGTGTTTACTGTTGTTGTGTTTACTGTTGTTGTGTTTACTGTTGTTGTGTTTACTGTTGTTGTGTTTTCTGTTGTTGTGTTTACTGTTGTTGTGTTTGCTGTTGTTGTGTTTACTGTTGTTGTGTTTACTGTTGTTGTGTTTACTGTTGTTGTGTTTTATGTTGTGTTTACTGTTGTTGTGTTTACTGTTGTTAACGTTGCGTTTACTGTTGTTGTGTTTACTGTTGTTGTGTTTACTGTTGTTAACGTTGCGTTTACTGTTGTTGTGTTTACTGTTGTTGTGTCTACTGTTGTTGTGTTTACTATCGTTGTCGTCGTCGTCGTCGTTGTTGTTGCTGTTGTTGCTTTTGGACGCGTGTTACAAAAATCTACCGGTTCATAGAATTTCGACAAATGGTTATGTTCGTTTGACTATTTTGTCACTTTTCTCCACTCGATCTCTGTTATACTTCACGTCAAACGGTGACATAAAAATTACCAAACATTTTAAAGACTCAACATACTTGATCATGGGAGCAGAAAGATCAAAGCAGTATTCTCCATATTCTGCAACGCCTTCATCATAAAATCTCATCGGGAAAGTCGTCAACACTTCAAACGCCTCAGGATGGTGTCTCTTAAGTTGTTTCACGGCATGATATCCATCAGTGAATATACTTTCGCCTCCATTGGGACTTTGTTGAATACAATGTAGTGCTAGGATCTATAATAATCAAACATGCATTCTTACATATAAAAGTCGCGTTTCTTAGTAAGGAATTGGAATATATTAACGTTGCCACTATTAGCCATTTCCCAAAGTCCTGGGTCTAGTCGCACAAATCCCATGTTGGAGGGACAAGAAACTTGGCAGCATGGATGACAAATTTAAATTAAAAGTTTAATGTAAAAAGGAGATATTTCATTTTTGGTCGTCTAAAAAGTTGATATTTGATAGTAGATACTTCTGCTCTTTCACATATATTTCACGCCTGTCGCCATATATTTTGTCCCTCCAAACTATCCCAGAATGTACTGTGATCTCTTTTGGGAAAAGGCTAATTTTATCTACACAAATACTTGAAATATATAGCAGTGATAAGGAGGCATCTAAAAACGATAGGTCTTTTAAGGTATGTCTCCTGAAGCATGAGATGTGAACGTTGTCACTTATGTGAACCCATGCAGTTAACCCTGAGAAGCAAATCCAATCTCAATTCACCCCTGAAGATTATACCAGTACACATAGCGATGAATTTATAGCTCAAGTAGATAGTGCAACATTTCTGTTCCTGAAGGAATTTTAACGACTCTGCATTTCTAACAGTTTAGGACCTTGATAAATTATGGTGAACTGTTTTATATTAATTCCATAAGAATGCGTTCGACATAAATTAACGTTTTTTGTATTGTACTGATGAATGTGGAAAGAAGACGGTAGCCGGAACTTGTTGTTGTAGAAAAATACAAATTTTCCAATGTATAAGGAGTTGATCTTATTGATATCAAGTGAATTCAGTTTGCTGAAAAGCAGAGCAATATGCTGTTTTATACAACAAGTTCGTCAGCAGCTCTATAGCTTTGTACGTTGAAATTTTAGACGAATTTAGGCTATTTAAAGTGCGTGAGTTAAAGGGATATTGCAATAAAATATGTAGTCAACAGTATTATTCGAACAAACTTACATTAGGTATAGATCTGAGATAAGGTAAATCAATGTGGATATATAAACCTTTCTCTGTACTTCCAACATTGCTACGATCATCCTCAACTTTCACATTGGCAATGTCTCTGAAAAAGAAAGAATGTCCCATTTTTAATAGATTTTCCTGCCAGTTTTTGTAGTTCTAACCGGTGCGAACGCACTGACTGTACTACTATGCTTATTATTGGAATGCCTGCTTTAATTCTACGCCGAACTCTAAGCGAACTGATTGGAATGATGTAAACAAAATTTAAAAGCTTTTGAGCATGAAATTTAATAATAATAACAAATAATAATAATAATAATAATAATAATGATTTATTGGTAATATATCCACGGAGTGGCTCTTCGCTTACCAAATTATATAAATTATAAAGTATTCATAAAGTCTATAAACTACTGCAATATAACTTTGAATATATAACGTGTTCGACAGGACAAAATATTACTTACAAAATTACGAATTAACTAAGTTAGAACAAAACTGTACGAAACTATATACATTTAAATATTTCTTTCTAAGATTATCCAAGTCTTGACCATGCTTTCAAGACTAAGAAATTTTTGGTCTCATTGTAGAATACTCTGTAGTCTCTGCAGTTCCTAATTTCTTCTGGTAATTGGTTAAAAAGATGTGCTGATTGGTCCTGTAATGTGTTCTTAATTGAAGTGACTTGAAGCTGAGAGCCTTTGCTTGATCTCAGAACTCGAGAATGTTGAACCAATTGTAGCTTTTGGTAACTTGGCCAATTTTCATCGTAAAGCGCTTTGTAATTTAATTTTAGAATGTTCCATTCACGTTGTTCCTTGATAGGCAACCAGTTTAACGATAATACGTCCGCTGATCTAGCGAATTTACCTAGCACGAAACTAGCTGCTGCTTTCTGTACCCTTTATAATAATAATAATAATAATAATAATAATAATAATAATAATAATAATAATAATAATAATAATAATAATAAAAATCTTTATTTAGGTAATCCTTATAGAGACAACAGACGTGTGTCTTTACATGATTTTTATAGTTATTGTTTCAAAAATATACTATTTACAGTATATTTACAATATTAATATAATTAATTTACAAGATATAATTTATACGCATGAATCAAAAACTAAAAATAGTCAAACAGACACCTATTTACAAAAGAACACTTAAATCTTTCAGTTCTGACTTTAGGTAGGATGAAAGGATGATCGCGTTTTCTTTTTTTTTTTGTCTTTTTTCAGGCAATAGAGTCATATAAAATATGTTAAGGGTTATCTAAAATCCTATTGAATAGAATTCTGTCTCTCGTTTCAATCAACGCAGACATTTTATACTCTTTCAGTATATATATACCCATATCGATACGCTCAGGGACGCCGGAACTGGCGGGGGACAGGAGGGGGAGCCGCCCCAGTTGCCCTTTACCAGGAGGGGCAAGGAGGGCAAAGGTACCCTTTCAATTTCAAAGTTGCAGTGGCGAAATAGCGAATTGTCAGAAATGTTAATGCAATTCTTTTACGAATTTGCTTCAGAAAGCGCAAGAAATGCATGCTAAAAACAACGAACAAAAGTTGAAATATTTTACCGCATGTGTCAGCAGTTTCTAAGGTTTGTGTGTAATGCAGAACCAAAATTAGGCCATATTGATAAGCTTTTTCCCTTTTTAAATGCAGCTTTTAATACTTAAAAACGGCCATTGACTCTCGCGCCCTTTGCCGCTTATTGCTACTATACAGGGTGTATAAAAAAAACTGAACAGATTTAAAATTGCTCTCAATTTCGCAAAACAGCTATTTGTATCCGGTTTTTTATATATATAGCCTCTTTGGGTACTTATAATGTAGAATAATGAGAAAAATTTCTCGAACTCAAATTTTGTGAACCAGGGGGGTGTGTCTTTTCCAACAAACTAAAAATGGCTCGCGCACAAAATTTAAAAGCTGCAATCATATTTTGAGTTAACAGATGGAAAATTTGTCGGGATTTTAATTACTGTACAAAATTTCAGACAATTTGGTTTAGTTTAAGCCCCTTAACTATTCACGCAAAGTTACAATTTTCCCGAAAAATCAGCTATTTGCATGCTTAATTATGCATTTGCCTAATTTGCATATGTCAGCAATATGCAAATTAGGTAAAGGCATTAATTAAGCATGCGAAAGGCTGACTTTTTAGAACAAAATGAATAGTTAAAGGGCTTAAACTAAACCAAATTGTCTGAAATTTTGTACAGTAATTAAAAACCCGACAAAGTTTCAATCTATTAACTCAAAATATGATTACAGCTTTTAAATTTTGTGCGCGAGCCATTTTTAATTTGTTGGAAAAGACACACCCCCCTGGTTCACAAAATTTGAGTTCGAGAAATTTTTTTCATTATTTTACATTATAAGTACCCAAAGAAGCTATATATATAAAAAACCAGATACAAATAGGTGTTTTGCGAAATTGAGAGCAATTTCAAATCTGTTCAGTTTTTTTTATACACCCTGATTATTATGAATAATTTGAAAAATTATTAACGTAATTTGAAAACATTTTGCTCAACAGAATGTTTTTTAAATTGTCAAAATAATTGAGTATACTAAAGAAATCATTTCATGAAATGAAAATTGGGGGTCACCGATGTCGTTTACGAGTAAAATTACTTTAATTAAAGCCAAAATATCCGCCATTTTGGAACGTCATTGTTGTCATAGCAACGGCAGTTGCATAACTTTTGCGAAAAAATTCAAATGCTTTAAGGCTGATTTCCACTGTTGCGTTTTTCATACGTACGTATACGCACGTAAAACTTTAAATCCGTTTAAATGTTACTTATGAAATAATCAAATAAATAAAGCAACAGAATTTAGTGTTCCGCAAGTTTTAGTATGCATTTGTTAACTTATTTGTAAAATATTTAAAAAATAAAAGGATTCAAAGTTTTACGTGCGTGTACGTGCGTACGAAAAACGCAACAGTAGAAATCAGCTTTTAGATGTTGTTTTACATCAGTAAGATGCGTTTTGTTCTTCAACAAGTAATTATTCTAAAAAAATACCGATCTAAATAGTGAATTTTCCATTTTTTAAAACTATATCTAACCACCTTAACATTAAGTAGCACAGGTGTAGCTCGCTCTTTGAAATGGGTCTTAAATAATAACTTTCGTTAATATGTACTACTTTATATACAACTATAACGGCTGAAGAATGTAAAATCACAACTTAAAACTATCTCAACAAAATAATGTTGGCAAAGATACAATAGTATACTTCACCCACAAGTTCAGCAAATCTGCCATTATATTTGTTATTTTTGTCAATGTGCTTCTATAGCTAAAAAGATTCGTGCAAAATTTCGGCAGTTCATAGAATAGTTTAGTCTAAATTTCGTTGCGAATTACTGACGCGTGGCCAGGAGCCACGACGCACGATAAATAGACAATCTCGTTCTAACGAGACACTAATCTAATTTAACTAATATTACTTTACATAAAAGAACGAATACTAAATACCTGCTGAGGTCGAAGCACTTGCTTCCCCCGTGAAATTCGACACTGCGGCTCGTTGGACTATTTCGTTGCCTTGAATAATCAAAGTTTTACCATTCAGCGCTCTTGATAGCGATTTTGAAAGCTTTTGAAAGCCATTTGATGCAATTCGAGCTTGTTTAGAGAACATTTTAACATTTCTCTAAATACAGGTGTACCGCAGGGATCAATATTGGCTCCAGTATTCTTCAACTTGTATGTCGCCGATATGCAACGTAATGTCGATACACAAGAAAGCTGTCTACAATATCCTGATGATTCAATTTTTTATCAGCACTGCAAGATCATTGACCTAACTCCCTGTAAATCAAATCTAGAAGAGTCATTGTCAAATGTCAACAATTGATCTACAACCACTAATCTTATTTTTAATGAATCTATAACTAAAATGATCATGTTTGCCATAGAGAAAATGAGGTTGAAATAACAGTAAATAGCAAACCCATTGAGTTTCATCTTGCATGGAAAATACTTGGAATGCTTTTCCAATAGAACTTACTGTGGAACAATCACATCACAGAGCTAACTTCGTCCTGTACAGTTATGGTGTTTTAGCTGTTCTGAGAAAACAACTCGCGAAAGCTTTAGTTCTTTCCAAATTGGATTATTGTAAATAAATGTTTTATATGATGTTGTTTTAGTACAGTGTTTTAAGTTTAGTTTTAGTTTAGTTCTAGTTTGAAAGAAGAATTTCGAATTCAATTTAGATTTAGTTTAACTCTAGTTTGAAACAAGAATTTCAATTCAGTTTTAGTTTAGTTCTAATTTGGAACAAGAATTTTAATTTAGTTTTAGTTTTAGTTTTAGTTTAGTTCTACTTCGAAAACCGGTTTTCCACTTGCGAATTTTTTCGCGCGAAGCAAATTTTTCTTTTGTCTTTAGCCAATTAGTTTTAGCCGTGAAAATCAAAGCTAAAGTTTATAGTGTAAATCAGGGCAAATCCCAAAAAGACCCTGGGTACGACTGGATGGGCAAATCTATCCAATTCACAAACATTGCTTAATTAAACATTTACTTCTTTTGAATTTTCTTCACAAATTATTATTGAGTTAACACCAGAAATAAGGTAAATTAGACATTCCACTGTATAATTCGGCTTCTGGACAGCGAACGTTTCATTATCGCGCAGTGTCTATTTGGAATGAGCTCCCAAATCATATTAAAGACATTGACACTTTGGACCGGTTTAAACTAGAATATAAATGTCATTTATTGCATGGATTTTTAGAAAGTAGTTCAGTAATAGTTTTAGACAATTTGGGCTTGTTTAAATTAGCATATAAACGTTTTTACTGTATGGATTTTATTAGGAAGTAGTTAACATTTTTAAAGTGACATTACTAATAATTATAAATTCTAATCTAGTTGTGTTTGTATGGATGGATGGATGGATGGATGGATGGATGGATGGATGGATGGATGGATGGATGGATGGATGGATGGATGGATGGATGGATGGATGGATGGATGGATGGATGGATGGATGGATGGATGGATGGATGGATAGATGGATGGATAGATGGATAGATAGTAGG